AAAGTGTGACATACAGCAAAGCACGGGTAATTCGGCTAGTAATACTACATTTTTGTGAAACTTCGTGAAAGACAATTAAAAGTTTTATTTTAAAATGGGGCTTTTTTACCAACAACCTAATAAAAGTAAATTTAACTTATCAAGTTATCTTTTACTGAAGTGTATTACTAATGAGATATATATATATATATATATATATATATATATATATATATATATATATATGTTTGTATGTATGGATTTATATGTATGTAATGGTAAGTATAATATTATTTATTTCATTTAATAAACAGGAAATATTGATAACAAAGGAAATGCAAAAAAAATTTCGATCGTCTTAAGAGTCTGCATGTCCTTCCCTTATTTCCTTCGTTAGCACGACCATTACTCCCTGTCAACGCCCATTAAATATTGATCGCGAGGAAAAACGGCAAGACGCTACTTGGTTTCAGTCAAAGAAGGAAAGAATGAAATCAAAATTCAAACAGGAAAGCCGTGACATTTTGACTGTTTATAAAAGTACTAAATGAAATCTAATTTCAAAATATTACATACACTTACAGCAAACAACGCAGATTAACGTAAACTATATATAAAAAAAAGAAGAAGTGAAAAAAAAATCGCTACCAAACCAAAAAAAAAAAAAAAATTTTCAGCCCGAAAGTAAGATTTTTAACAACAAAGAAAACATTCGTTTTGTACTAAGAAAATGCGAGTCACAAAAATAAGACAAATCTCACAAGGAGGAAAACATATGAAAACGAGGCTCGTGACGCAAGAGAGAGGATCGGGTTTCCGCTGCCATATTTGTTTTCTGTACATTCCATACGATCTAACTGAAATGACTTTCGTAAATTCCAGAATGTTTTTTTAAACAGGTGAAAAGGGTCGATGCAAAACGCTGTCTCCCACTAACTAGTTTTTGTTCTTAATTAATTTATTTTTAAGTAAATATTTTCTAGATGCTGACGCAATGCATCTACGAAAGGTTAAGCCTATATGCGGATATATGAACAAGGTATATTCACACACACAACACACACACACACACACATATATATATATATATATATATATATATATATATATATATATATATATTAGTAATAGTAGTAGTAATAATCTTATACGTATAAGAAATTATACTTATCTGAAAACCTTCGTTGTATTGATTTGCGAATAATCAAACCAATACCAAGGGAAAAAAGGTATAAAAAAGAAAGAACCAAGAACATGTACGTTAGCCGAAAATAACCGTCTAGCATGCAAGTCCAAAGTCAAAAGAAAAAAAAACGCGATATGAGTAAGCAAAATAATAACTAAATAAAGTGCTCAATACAGTAAGTAGAGCAGACCTAGTAAAACCTAGAGAGCCAGACAAAACTACCAAAGTTTAACCTAAGCGGATCGGCAGGGAAGGCTGGCTTCCTGACGATCCGCTAAGGTAAAACCGTGGTAGGTTGTCTGGATCTCTAGGTTTATATATATATATATATATATATATATATATATATATATATATATATATATATATATATATATATATATGTAACTAGTAAGAGTAAAATTGTCCAAATCCTATTACTGCACATTTGTCCACCCCACAAAATGTTTAATATCTAAAAAATAACTAAACTAATTCAGGTTCTTTTTTTTTCCCGGTGAGGCACCATGTTACTCGAGGAGAGAAAGTTAGAAGGTTAGAGAGGGCGATGTTCATCATGAATAAGTTGAAAAATGATCTTAAAATAATATATATATATATATATATATATGTATGTAAGTATATGTATATATATATATATTGAAACTTTATTTCAATACTTCACGAGCTTCCGATACTTAACTATGATTAATTGATGAACATGTCAATTTCATTTTTGATCGATTTCTTCACGATTCTTCTGTTAAGCTTGAAGAGTAATTATACATTCATTTTTCAAACTAGAGACCAATAGTGGAAACCTCAGAGAATTCCAGTAAGTTAACTTTAATCATTTCTAAAACACAACGGTTCAGAACTTAATTTAACAATTGGATAACTTTTGCTGTTACACTCTGTATATATATATATATATATATATATATATATATATATATATATATATATATTTACCCATTCTCCCACGAGAATGAGATGTGACACAAGGTCAGATTAATGTGGGGACCCGGGCAAGGGACAAAAATTACCCTCAGCCCCTGCAACCGTCGGTTGGTGCTGGCCTCGGTGCGAGCATCGATCCCTCCCTCTTGTGCAATGGGAGGGCGCGGCCTCGGGTAGCTGTTCCCCAGGGCTGGGCACATCTTCAGTATATTTTTCCTCAGTTGCCCCTCTGTCCTTTGACAGAGAAGCCCCTGAGCGCACTCTGTCCAGAGACGCAACAGAGAGATGATCAGAAAATGTGAAATTACCCCAAAAGAGGAATTTACACACTTATATATATATATATATATATATATATATATATATATATGTGTGTGTGTGTGTGTGTGTATGTATGTATGTGTGTGTGTGTATTATATAATTAGGCTGTGCGTTACTTTAAAAGATACAATTTATTTTAGTAAATGCTCAGTTTTAAACAAACAATGTTTTTACATTCAACATCTTGAATCTTCGAGAAATTTCGTAGATAATATATTTCTCCGACTATGAATATATAAACTCTCGCACACACACACACACACACACACACACACACATATATATATATATATATATATATATATATATATATATATATATATATATATATATATATATATATATATATATATTTATACAAAAATGCACACAGGCATAAACATATATATATATATATATATATATATATATATATATATATATATATATATATATATATATATAATATGTGAAAATATATAGAAAATATGATTTATATATATATATATATGATTTCGATATATATATATATATGCACACACACATGTATACACACACACACACATATATATATATATATATATATATATATATATATATATATATATATATATATATACATACACAAATATGCATATGCACACCCATATATATATACATACACACATATATATATAAACAATTATAAAATATGATCTTCAAACTTGTAAAAGTATACCTCATACGTAAATACATACTCTCTTTCTCTCTTATATATATATATATATATATATATATATATATATATATATATATATATATATATATATATATATATATATGAACAAGCTACCTCTGAACTTCAGGATGTCGTAGTGATTTTTACATGATATCGTATAAAAATAAACAAACGAGCCTGAACACACGAAAAGTGAAACTGCATTAGTAATTGAAATATATATATATATATATATATATATATATATATACATGAATGCACACAGGCATATATATATATATATATATATATATATATATATATATATATATATACATAAATGCACACAGGCACACATATATATATATATATGCACACACACTCTTGTATACATACACACATATATATTTATATATATATACATACACAAATATGCATATGCACACCCATATATATACATACAGGCACATATATATACATAAACAAATATATATACATACAGACGCATACATACGTCTACATACGCAAACTCATATATATGCATACACATATATATATATATATATATATACTCACACATAATCACAATTACGCACAAACACACACAAATATATATATATGTGTGTGTGTGTGTGTGTGTGTGTGTGTTATTGAATGATAATAACTTCTACGTTATGCTTTTCTCTTTTCTTCCCCGAAAGGATTTCTTTAAACTAATAACTATTTTAACAATGGTGTTACATATATATATATATATATATATATATATATATATATATATATATATATATATATATATATATATGTATTGTGTGTGTGTGTATGCGGAAGAAATAAAAAAAAACATTCCAATTTTTTACAGCAAACTTCACTTTAAGTTTTATAAATCTTTGATAAAATCTATGGCATACAATGAGTCGTCAAATTCAACATTGTGAAGCTTAAGTTTTTATCTTTATTGCTATTGAAGAAGTTTTTTATATTCATTGTCATTATCTATATAGTAATACGTTTATCAAGATTTAAAAGAGGAAAACAGGGTGTCATACAGTATAGAATACATATAACAATACGTGTAGATAGGTTCACCTATCACCCATCTTTAGAACAGAGGTTCAGTTTTATGTCTTTTTTTTTTTCAGGATTGGGCATTCAGTTTTCTCATTCTCCTTCACTCCCAGTAGCTCATTGTGTGTTAATGGCATTGTTGCCTTGCTTGTGTTGAACAAGTCTAAAAAATAAAGAAAGTAAAAATGAAAGTGAGACGGTGATATTAACTAACTGAGGGTAGCAAAAGAAAAAAGAAAAAATAGCTGTACGTTAAAGAAAGAAGGCGAGGGAAATGATGGAAGAAAAAAGAAAAGAAATGAAGAAAGAGAAGAAAAGGAAGAAAGGGTGAAAGTTGACGCAGAGGAAGAAAAGGAAGAAAAAGAAGAAAGGGCGTAAAAGGAAGAAAAAGAAGAAAGTGTCGGAAAGGGAGAAAAGGAAGGAAAAGAAGAAAGCGTGTAAAAGGAAGAAAAAGAAGAAAGGGACGGAACGGGAGAAAAGGAAGAAAAAGAAGAAAGGGACGGAAAGGGAGAAAAAGAAGAAAAAGAAGAAAGCGTGTAAAAGGAAGAAAAAGAAGAAAGGGACGGAAAGGAAGAAAAGGAAGAAAAAGAAGAAAGCGTGTAAAAGGAAGAAACAGAAGAAAGGGACGGAAAGGGAGAAAAGGAAGAAAAAGTAGAAAGGGACGGAAAGGGAGAAAAGGAAGAAACAGAAGAAAGTGACGGAAAGGAAAAAAAAGAAGATAAGGAACAAGGGGATAAAGGAAAGAAGGGATGAAAGACAAGAAAAAGAACAAAGGGAAGGAATGAGGAAAATATGAAGAATGGGATAAAAGGAAGAAAGGGAAGAAAAGGACTACGTCGATGAAAAAGAAGAAAGAGAACAAAGGAAAAAAAGGAAGAAAAGGAGGAAAGGAAGAAAGTAAAGGAAGCAAGGAAAGAAAGAGAAGAAAGGGTAGAAATAGAGGAAAAGGAAGAAAGGGAGAAAAGGGGAGAAACGAAGACAGTGACGGAAAGGAAGAGAGGAAGGAAAGGAAGAAAGGCAATGAAAAAGAAGAAAGGGAAGGAAGGATGAAAAGGAAGAAAAGGGGAAGTGAAGAAAGGGAATAAAGAGAAGAAAAGAGGTTAAAGAGAAGAAAGAAAGAATGTGAAGAAAGGAAAGAAGGGATGAAAGAGAAGAATGGAAGAAAAAGAAGATATGGAAGAAATAAAGGAAAGGAAGAAAAGGAAGTAATGAATAAAGGGAGTAAAGGAAGAAAGGGAAAAAGAGAAGAGAGGAAAGAAACATTGAGAAAATGAAGAAATCAAGTAAAAGAAAAGAGGTGAAAAACAAAAATATTGTTAATGAAAAGAAAGAAAAAGTAGAAGGAGAGAAACTTCTAAATGAAAAGAAAAGCAAAAGAAAATCGATATAGGAAATAAATAAAAAGAAAGAAAGAAAGAAGTGAAGAACGAACGAAATGAAGAAAAAAGTGAAGAAAGAAAGAAAGAGAAAAAGAACGGAAGAAAGAAAGAAATAAGGTATGAAAGAAAGGAAGAAATAAAAAAGAAGAAAAGAAAGAATGAAATAAGGAAGAAAGAAAGAAAGAAAGGAAAAGGGGATGAAAGAAAGAAATAAGGTATGAAAGAAAGGAAGAAAGAAAAAAGAAGAGAAGAAAGAATGAAATAAGAAAAAAAGAAAGAAAGAAAGAAAGGAAAAGGGATGAAAGAAAGAAATAAGGTATGAAAGAAAGGAAGAAAGAAAAAAGAAGAGAAGAAAGAATGAAATAAGAAAAAAAGAAAGAAAGAAAGAAAGGAAAAGGGATGAAAGAAAGAAATAAGGTATGAAAGAAAGGAAGAAAGAAAAAAGAAGAGAAGAAAGAAAGAAAGAAAGAAAGAAAGAAAGAAAGAAAGAAAAGGGATGAAAGAAAGATAGAAAGATAAGGGGATGAAAGAAATAAATGAGGTATGAAAGAAAGGAAGAAAGAAAAAGAAGAGAAGAAAGAATGAAATAAGAAAGACAGAAAGAAAGAAAAAGGGATGAAAGAGCAAGCCACAACACGAGAAAGAGAGAAATTGTATGAAATGAAAAACAAAGAAATTGAAAATTAAAAGATAGAAGGAAAGGAAGAAGGTAAGAATATCCTGAGAGCAAATGATTAGTGTGAACGTGTATTCTTCGCGCATGCTCATTGCCCGACACAATGGCAATCAGAACAAAAAGGCAAAAGCTGTGTAATTCATACAATAACCTATTTTGCACAATTACACACGCGGCCTTAAATACACTTTTCTAATTATACACGCGCCACACACACGACTGCACATGAACCCTCCTACATAGGGATAAGCACACACGGGATACAACAGGGAAGAGCACAGAGGCGGAAACACACTCTTATACTCACTAAGCCATACACGCAGTTAGATGCGCACAAAAAAAACGAGACTACACGTCACTGCGCATGTGCACGCACTGACAAACCCATAGAAACATGCAAAGAATCAAACAGTTAGCAACAATTTTACCGTTTGTCTTGTTAATCCACCTACAACTTCTAACCAGAATATATACAGGTGGGGGCTAGCAAAACGACCGCCCCCTTGCTAAAGTTTTAAAGATGACAAAATAAATTTACGTCCTTAATTTTTTAAAAAAATATCTTAAGCAGCTGAGGATATATCTCTACATGGTTACGAAAAATTATTTGAGGCTACTTCAAAAAGTATCGTCTTGCGGTTTGATGCATGGTTTGGTCTATAGACTTCAGGGAATGCGTTGATGGTGTTCATTTAAGAGCTATTATTAACCCTAGAACACTAGCCGTGGTTATATAGTACCCAGCGCAAGAGTCTGTCTATATTTCTGAGATGAGGTATTATGTACAGTATTTACATTAGTCGGACTATTGTCCTCATCTTTGTCACCATATTTGTCACAACGTTTCGGCCGTTGTACGCTCCGGCCTTCTTCAGGTGGTTGGAATTTCGAACTGAACCCTTTATTTCGATCACTGGGGTGAGACTGTTCTAGTTCACGTGCCTTGTCTAATGGATGTCAGTTATCAGTTATCTCCTGCTAATTTTCCCTCTGAAAGTTCTCCTGCCTTAACCTCACCTTCTTGGTTAAGGCAGTGGAGAACCAGAGGGAAAATTAGTTGGAGATAACTGATAACTGACATCCATTCTTCTACCCCAGTGTCGAAATAAAGGGTTCAGGATCGAAATTCCAACCACCTTTCGGATATGTACAACGGCCGAAACGTTGGACAAATATGGCGACAAAGATGAGGACAATAGTCCGACTAAGGTAAATACTGTACCCAGCGCAAATATTCCTATTTTTAATTACAATTTTCAGTACCTGATTTTCTTACGTAAACAATATGTATTACAGTTCCTATTAATGTTAACTCAAAGTACAAAGTTTGAGGTGCCGACATGTGAAATTTTTCAAATAAAGATTTATATTTAATATATTTTTTTTGATATTTTCAAAATCGGGTACGATATACCCATGGTTATTAGTGGTGTAACTTTAATTGATGGTTAGTGTTCTAGGGTCAACAAAACAAGTTAAGGATTGTATTCACAAATTTACACACCTGAAGTAGTGTCAGTAACTTGTTTCAGGAAAATAAGGCATTGACCTTAGCCTTGTGAATTAAATTGGATAGACAAAACAGTTCACGAGTTGTTGATAGTTGTACTATCAGGGAGCCAGCAATTACTGTGGCCATTATGATTCAAGCTTACGGGACCTGTCCAATTACTGATCATGCCATATTGTGCACTTTCTCCCAGAAACAGTAACATTCCATCAGTAAGGTATGTATTAAGCACAGGTTAGATTAATAGGTGTTAAAGCACAAATGTACATTGATTAGCTAACCACACTAGCAGACAGGTATACTCAAGATACAAGTGGCCAGCTAGAGATACACAACACACACTAAGATATATATATATATATATATATATATATATATATATATATATATATATATATATATACATGTTTCATTAAATAATATAGACAAGTTTCTAGTGAATATCTATAGTAGTGTTGGGCTTAGGGGTTAAAAGGAATAGTTGATTTGCCCACGCCAAGTAGATTAATGAAGGAAGATAATGATGAGGAAACACGGGTAATTTTACCCCTAGAACATTGACCATTGGGTATATAGTACCCAGCGCAAATATTCCTATTTTTAATTACAATTTTTAGTACCTGATTTTCTTACCTAACCAATATGTGTTACAGTTCCTTTTAATGTTAACTCAAAGTACAAAGTTTGAAGTGCCTGCATGTAAAATATTTCAAATAAAGATTTATATTTAATATATTTTTTTGATATTTTGAAAATCGGGTATGATATACCCATGGTTAGTAGCGGTATAATTTTAATTGATGGTTAATGTTCTAGGGTTAAACTATAAATCCGGAATAGCAGAAGATTTATTACGTGACAGTCCTTCGAGGTTTGAGTGTTCAGTTTGGAGATGTGGGGCACATCGAAGATTCTGGATTATTCTCATCAGACATCAACGACCCCGATCAAGAATTGGAATAATTTAATTCCATGGAAGTGCCAAAAATCAAAACTCTTTTCCGACTCGGACATTTCGCAAAGGAAAGGACGTATAGGGATGTCATAATGTATCATCCGGCTACTCCACAGATCTATAATCTCTTTTTGAAAGTAATTGGTTAGGTACTGTTCACCTCGGCCCTCACTGATTTTCAAAACTAAGTTGTCTGTAAACATTATTTTCGGAATAGATTTTTTTTTTAAATTCATTTATTAAATCAAAGCTAAAATTTCTTTTTCTTTTATATACCGTGTCCACTCAGGATGTAGGCAATCGTGGTGACGCGTGGCATAGTTAATAGTCAGCAATGTATTTGGGAGAATTAACAAAAAGACAAGCCTTATTCATCAGACAGGAAGATGTGGAGATCTTCCTGTCCGATGTATCTTTTAATAAGGCGTGTCTTTTTATTAAGTCTACCAAACACCTTCCTGCCATCCATTTGACTATTAACTATACAACGCGTTGCTTTCCTCTGTCCTTTTTTTCCTCTATTCATCCTTTGAGTATCAGATTTTACAAGAACTCTTCTTAATTACGTATCCCAGAAATTTCAACTGCCTCTTCCTGTTGTTAAGTGTAAGTTTCTTTTTTGTTTCAATTTTCTCTAAAACCTCTCGTTGCTCACATTTCCGGTCCATGGTATCCTCAGCATCCTTCTGTAGAAATATCAACTGTCTCTTCCTGATGTTAAATATAAGTTTCCTTTTTATTTCCATTTTCTCTAAAACCTCGTCGTTGCTCCCATATTCGGCCCATGGTATCCTCAGCATCCTTCTGTAGAAATTTCAAATGCCTCTTCCAGATGTTTAGTATAAGTTTCCTTTTTGTTTCCATTTTCTCTAAAACCTCGTCGTTGCTCACATGTTCGGTCCATGGTATCCTCAGCATCCTTCTGTAGAAATTTCAATTGTCTCTTCCTGATGTTAAGTATAAGTTTCCTTTTTGTTTCCATTTTCTCTAAAACCTCGTCGTTGCTCACATGTTCGGTCCATGGTATCCTCAGCATCCTTCTGTAGAAATTTCAACTGTCTCTTCCTGATGTTAAGTATAAGTTTCCTTTTGTTTCCATTTTTCTCTAAAACCTCGTCGTTACTCACATGTTCGGTCCATTGTATCCTCAGCATCCTTCTGTAGAAATTTCAACTGTCTCTTCCTGATGTTAAGTATAAGTTTCCTTTTTGTTTCCATTTTTTCGCTAAAACCTCGTCGTTGCTCACATGTTCGGTCCATAGTATCTTCAGCATCCTTCTGTAGAAATTTCAACTGTCTCTTCCTGATGTTTAGTATAAGTTTCCTTTTTGTTTCCATTTTCTCTAAAACCTCGTCGTTGCTCACATGTTCGGTCCATGGTATCCTCAGCATCCTTCTGTAGAAATTTCAATTGTCTCTTCCTGATGTTAAAGTATAAGTTTCCTTTTTGTTTCCATTTTCTCTAAAACCTCATCGTTACTCACATGTTCGGTCCATTGTATCCTCAGCATCCTTCTGTAGAAATTTCAACTGTCTCTTCCTGATGTTAAGTATAAGTTTCCTTTTTGTTTCCATTTTCGCTAAAACCTCGTCGTTGCTCACATGTTCGGTCCATAGTATCTTCAGCATCCTTCTGTAGAAATTTCAACTGCCTCTTCCTGATGTTTAGTATAAGTTTCCTTTTTGTTTCCATTTTCTCTAAAACCTCGTCGTTGCTCACATGTTCGGTCCATGGTATCCTCAGCATCCTTCTGTAGAAATTTCAATTGTCTCTTCCTGATGTTAAAGTATAAGTTTCCTTTTTGTTTCCATTTTCTCTAAAACCTCATCGTTACTCACATGTTCGGTCCATTGTATCCTCAGCATCCTTCTGTAGAAATTTCAACTGCCTCTTCCTGTTGTTAAGTGTAAGTTTCTTTTTTGTTTCAATTTTCTCTAAAACCTCTCGTTGCTCACATTTCCGGTCCATGGTATCCTCAGCATCCTTCTGTAGAAATATCAACTGTCTCTTCCTGATGTTAAATATAAGTTTCCTTTTTATTTCCATTTTCTCTAAAACCTCGTCGTTGCTCCCATATTCGGCCCATGGTATCCTCAGCATCCTCAGAAATTTCAAATCTTCAGATGTTTAGTATAAATTTTTCTAAAATCGTCGTTGCTCACATGTTCGGTCTTCCTGATGAAATTTCAATTGTCTCTTCCTGATGTTATAAGTTTCCTTTTGTTTCCATTTTCTCTAAAACCTCGTCGTTGCTCACATGTTCGGTCCATGGTATCCTCAGCATCCTTCTGTAGAAATTTCAACTGTCTCTTCCTGATGTTAAGTATAAGTTTCCTTTTTGTTTCCATTTTCTCTAAAACCTCGTCGTTACTCACATCTTCGGTCCATTGTATCCTCAGCATCCTTCTGTAGAAATTTCAACTGTCTCTTCCTGATGTTAAGTATAAGTTTCCTTTTTGTTTCCATTTTCGCTAAAACCTCGTCGTTGCTCACATGTTCGGTCCATAGTATCTTCAGCATCCTTCTGTAGAAATTTCAACTGCCTCTTCCTGATGTTTAGTATAAGTTTCCTTTTTGTTTCCATTTTCTCTAAAACCTCGTCGTTGCTCACATGTTCGGTCCATGGTATCCTCAGCATCCTTCTGTAGAAATTTCAACTGCCTCTTCCTGATGTTAAGTATAAGTTTCCTTTTTGTTTCCATTTTCGCTAAAACCTCGTCGTTGCTCACATGTTCGGTCCATGGTATCCTCAGCATCCTTCTGTAGAAATTTCAATTGTCTCTTCCTGATGTTAAGTATAAGTTTACTTTTTTGTTTCACTCCAAAACCTCGTCTTTCCTCCCATATTCGGCCCATGGTATCATCGGTATCCTTCTGTGGAAATTTCAACAGTCTTTTCCTGATGTTAAGTATGTTTACTTTTTGTTTCAATCCAGAATCTCGTCCTGATCCCAAGCTTGGCCGATGGTATCGTCAGAATCCTTCTGTAGAACCATATTTACGTTGTTTTGAGTCTCTTCTTCCTTGTGAGGAGGTTGTCACGCATTCGCTACTAAATCTAATAATTAGATGATTTTTATGATTCTAAAAATGATTTTATCGAGAGGGCTGCACGGCACCCATCCAGTGTTACACACAGAATCTTGCCTGAGGTGTCAGGGTTTTCAAATCATTAAGTGATAGCACGAATCTTTAAGACGGGAGCAAATTAGATGCTCCATACTTGTTAATTGCCTGTATAGACAAAAAGAGCAATAATCATATCCGAAGCATTTCGTCTTCTGAGGTAAATGCAATGATTTTTATTTTATTATTGGTCTTGGATATAAATGCTTGTTACAAAGAAAAATCTTTCATAAAGTCCATGATGTTTTCCTATTGTTGTAATTCATATTGTCCTTTCACAAATATATTATATATGAAATATATATATATATATATATATATATATATATATATATATATATATATATATCAGGTCATCATAAGATCTGTCCGAATTTTGAATAAAGAAAACAAGTGACCAAATGTTACATTTAATTACAGATTCAATCAACAATGTATTTTCCCTGATTATCTATGACTTCCTTCCATCTATTAACAAGCTTACTAATTCCATTGCTGTAAAATTCTTTTGGCTTTTGATTCGAAGAACTCACAAATGTCAGTTTTAACCTCTTTCTGTGTTACAAAAACTGTTTCTTCCAAATGATTCTGTAAGCTACGAAACAAATGGTAGTCTGAAGGAGAAAGATCGGGAGAATAAGGTGGATGAGGAATTTTCTCCCAACCAATCTTTTGTGATGTGAATCTTGCTGTGTGGTGTCGCGCATTATCTTGATGAAACATCACCTCTTTACGATTCACTAGAGCTCTAATTGCTGACAGTATATTTGAGCATTAATTGTTGCATTAGGTGGTAAGAATTCAGTGGATTATTCCTTGGCGATCCCACCAGATTGAAAGAAGAAACTTTTGCCCATAAAGTTCCCTTCTCGGCTGTGGCTGGGATCCTTCCCCTTTACCAAGCCACTGTCTACGACGCTTAACATTTCGATAAAAGATCCATTTTTCGTCGCCAGTCACAAGACAATCCAAAAAGGTGAAAAGAGTTGATGAGAATGGAGAGAAGAGCAGATGTCAACTCGGGATTTGAGGTTGTTTTCAGACAATTCATGAGGCACCCATTTTCCAAGTTTAGGAACTTTTCCAAGTTGTTGAAGATGACGATGAACAGTTGTATGGTTTGAACTGAGAACCACTGACAATTCCTCAACTGATAAATCAGGATTTTCTTCAAGGGCTGCTTCAAGAAACTTTTCATCAAACTCAATTGAACGTCCGGTTTAATCTTCATCTTCAAGGGTGAAATCTCCACCTCTGAATTTTGCAAACCATCTTTTGCAAGTTCTTTCATTCACACATTCCTCTCCATAAACTGAGTGAATGTTTCTAGTCGTTTCCTTTCTTGAACTCATAAAGCATTATGTGCCTCAAATGATTCTTGGGTACTTCCATGTTAGCAGGGTTTTAATCAAACAAAATTTAATTTTATTGTTCGCTGAAATAAAATTTGATCAGTTTAAATGCATCTAAACATAAAAATAATGTTCAGTTTCATTAGACAATATAAAATACTCTTTAAATTTCGTTCATTTTAACAAAAAGTTAAAATTCGGACAGAACTTATGGAATGACCTGATATATATATATATATATATATATATATATATATATATATATATATGATGGATATGGAATGACCTGATATATATATATATATATATATATATATATATATATATATATATATATATATATATATCAGGTCATTCCATAAGTTCTGTCAGAATTTAATATATATATATATATATATATATATATATATATATATATATATATATTCTAAATTATATTTATCTATATATATCTAGTTCATCTAATATATATATCTACTCTATGTAAACTATATATATATATATAAATATATATGTATATATATATATATATATATACAGTATCTAAATTATATTCTATTTATTTAGATATATATGCAATATACTTTAGTCATATATATATATATATATATATATATTTATGTATATATAAATCTTTTTACAGTATATATATATATATATATATATGTGTGTGTATGTATATATATATATATCATATCTATACATCTGAATATGTTAGCTTTATCACTGTTATTGAATACTTTCCAAAAGTACCATGCATATATATGATATATAGACATATATGATATATATTTATGCACTTACTTGCATATATATATATATATATATATATATATATATATATATATGTATGTATGTATATACACTCTATCTAAATTATATATGTGTGTATTTGTGTGTGTGTGTATTTGTGTGTGTGTGTATTTGTGTGTGTGTGTATTTGTGTGTGTGCGTGTGTATTTATGTGTGTGTGTGTATTTGTGTGTGTGTGTATTTGTGTGTGTGTGTGTGTGTATTTGTGTGTGTGTGAATGAAAAGAAATAACAACTCCTAAAGTAGTATGCCACGACAGGCACAATGGAGAAAATAGTTATTTGTGAAAATAATCATTTCATACATCTTTGACAAGTTCAAGATGTTACAAGGGTAGTTGCTGCATAGGTACCATCTACACGCCAAAATAGGCTTAGCGCCTACCTGCTTCTCATGATATCGAGTACATTCTCAGTCCGCTTGTGAGATTTTTCTAATGTTTCGGTTATTTTTCTTTATCTTTTCCGAAATAATGGTGATTTTTCTGCATATTCCTCTCGGCCCGAGGGTAAGTGTGCTAATGGTATATTTACATCAACTCAACTCGTAAAATTCTGTACTTGCCAAAAGAGTATAAAATTACCTAATTCCCAAATAACAGTTGCTAACTACATTGTGATTATGTGAAAACGCATGAAACTTTTAGTCGTGATCGGCCGCATTTCAACGGGTATTTATTCATATATATATATATATATATATATATATATATAAGTGTGTGTGTGTGTGTGTGTGCACTTAACGGCGTAGAATGGTGCCAATATCTCTCTGATTCTGAGACGGACTAGACGATGTGCGTATATGAATGTCATCATTCGCTTTGAAATGGACACCCCGGTCCCGGCTTGGCCTGTCCTCTTTCCGATGGGGACTGATATGTTGATACAAATTGTTAACCCTTACGTCACTTACTGAAATGGTTGCTTTAGCCATTTCCATAGTAATTAATTTTACGAATGGATATGCTTATGAAGATGCGTAAACTTCAAGATTAGTTATTTCAAAAAAATTTGCTTCAAGATGAAACAGAGCCTGATACTTTAATTCAATTTAATTTTAATAATTATATTGAATTTTTGGCTCTTGTTTTCGAAACATGAGAACTCTTATATAGCGAAGGAATCATATTTTTTAAAAATGGTTATATATATATATATATATATATATATATATATATATATATATATATATATATATATATAATGTTGGAATTGTAGTGGTTCGCGCGATCCGATACTTAAAATTATAAAATCTTAGTGAACCGTTTGCTGGAATATCCGAAAATAATCTTATAGGTTAATAGCCGGTAAAACGTTTGTTACGCGACGCTCGCGTCTCATTCACACACACCCCTATTTCTGTTTCGAAGTCAAAAATTGTGGCAAATCGACCAGTTATAAATTTGATAGCTCTTCGCTTGAATTTTTGTGACTGCATCCATTCAGTTCGAATGTGGGTAAGAAAGCATAATACAGTTGATCACACTAGATTAAAATAGCATCATACTTCTGAATAGAAATCTGATGAGAGCAGAATATTAAGAAATATTTTAATAAATAAATGTTTTCTCTTAAATTATCAAATTGGTATAATTTCTTTTTTTATACTATAATGTGATTAGATTCCATTCTCAGGTTGAAAAGAAAATAAGCAGAAGAGATTCCTAAGATTACCTCTCATTGTATAAACGCTTCCTGGAAATAATATAATATATATATATATATATATATATATATATATATATATATATATGAAGAAATATAGTTTTAGGTATGCTATATTTATCAGAGGCATAGCTCATGTGGTCTCTGAGCGTGAATTCCAATCTCCACATTGATATATATATATATATATATATATATATATATAGATTTCATTCTCAGGTTGAAAAGAAAATAAGCAGAAGAGATTCCTAAGATTACCTCTCATTATATAAACGCTTCCTGGAAAAAAAAAAAAAAAATATATATATATATATATATATATATATATATATATATATATATATATGTGAAGAAATATAGTTTTAAGGTATGCTATATTTATCAGAGACATAGCGTATGTGGTCTGTGAGCGTGAATTCCAATGTCCACATTGATATATATATATATATATATATATATGAGAGAGATACGCATATACGAATTCACAGAGTGAGAATGAGGTGTACGAATATATATATATATGAATCGAGGGAGCTGTACACACAAACACACACACACACACACACACAACACACACACACACACACATACAACACACACACATATAGTTAGGCAGCATATTTTCATTCAAACAGGTTTTGTTAAATAATTTAGACGTATTATCTCTATTTTAGTTTTAATTATTTCAGTGTCTACTGTTGGAAGGACGCGTGGCCGGAAACATGTATATCAAAATTATGGAAAATAAAGCATGATATATTTTTTTTTAAAAATCCATATTACAACCAAAAACGTTTGCAGTTTCTTTCTTTTTTTATTTTTATATATATATATATATATATATATATATATATATATATATATATATATAATTTTAATTTTAGGTTAGCAAATCGGTAGCGAATTATGCATGTGAAAATAATTCATATTTATCTGTATCTCACTCATTTAAACCGTTATTTAACTCCTCTCTTTAAAACTTCTCTCTGTTAAATTTGAATCCCCACCTTCACCTTAAGACCTATCCTGTCCTTCTTTCTTCGGTTACACCCTCTCTCTAGAGCTTTCATACATTTCCCTCTCACACTTGTTTCCCACTCAAACATATTCACTTTCACTAAAATTTTGTTCTCATAACCGGAGTTATATTTTCAAATTTCTTCTTGAATTTGTAGGTCTGATGAATTGGTTCGTGATTACGATTCCAATGTAATAAATTATAACCATGGAATATTAGTGTTTGAGCCTTTTATATTATATTGTTACTCTGTCCTACCTGGATTCTATCCCTTGGAATTATATATATATATATATATATATATATATATATATATATATAAATTCATATATATATATATATATATATATATATATATAAATATAAAAAGAACATTGAAGTCAACACTTAGAGGCATGAAACAGACTGTTGCCTCAAGTGTTGACTTCTATGTTCACTTTTATATTTACACATGCTCTATCTCTGATATTGAGCACTTTATTCCATAAATATAGCACACCTTAAGACTATATTTCTTCATATATATATATATATATATATATATATATATATAGGTAACTACATTCGTATCGGAGCCAGCTTTCCCTGACGATCCGCTTAGGGGAAACCTTAGTAGGTTTGTCTGGCTCTCTGGTTTGACTATATATATATATTGATTGATTGATTGATTGACTGATTGAAAATTCCAAATCATATGAGTTCATATCATAATTAAAAAAGAAAACAAATTTAGGATTGTATTTATTTCAGAATGATGATTCAAAATTATATATCGTCTTTCCTGCTGCCAACCTTTTTAAAAATTGGCTAAGCTGAGAAGATATAATCTATGTTTTGTTTAAACAGATGAAAACCTTAATAGCTCGACTCCTTTGAATAGAATTAGTCAAAAAGAGAAGATAATACTAAGAGACCATTGTTCCGGAAAGGTAAATTCCCTGACATGTATAAGACGATAGATTTTTTGAATAAGAGAAAGCAAATGGCTGACCAACCTACCAAAGCATTTTAGCCTGTCAAAAACAATTGTGCGTTTATGCTGATGGTATAAATTTGTTACAACGGAATTTCCATTGCAGACGATGCGTCAACGCCTTTTGATTCTGCCAAAATATTAAGAACCGGCTCCGATTTGTCTATCTTTTTCTTTTTCAATATGCTTTCAAGAAATACGGATACTATTTGTCAGCGATGTTCTCAAAATATGTTTAAAGGGATGCGGAGAAAAATGATTGATTGTGTATGCTATCGTAATTGAGTGTCAAGGCACATTACAGCCATATCAATGGGGACGAGAATAGGTCGAAAGTATCACTTGTAGGACAGTAAAACCAAAACGAAAGGTTGCACCAATCAAGTAAATGAATACAGTCACAAATATATACCAACTATATTTACCTAGTCCCGAAAGAATGTAAATACGTATAGACTCAAATATAAAACGCAATCAATATTTACCTATTCCCGAGTGTCCTGGGTAAGACGATACACTACATCTGCCTCCTGGGTAAGACGATACACTACATCCGCGTCCTGGGTAAGACGATAAACTACGTCCGCGTCCTGGGTAAGACGATAAACTACGTCCGCGTCCTGAGTAAGACGATAAAATACATTCGCGTCCTGGGTAAGACGATAAACTACATCCGCGTCCTGAGTAAGAGGATAAAATACATTCGCGTCCTGGGTAAGACGATAAACTACATCCGCGTCCTGAGTAAGACGATAAACCACATCCTGGGTAAGACGAAGAACTAATCGTCCGGGGTATGACGATAAACTACATCCCACAGAAAGGCCTTTAATCATGAGGTTTTTTAGGATCGTGTAACAACCACTTAACTGATGGGGTTCCCAGGCCAACCGTGACCCTGGGTGGTAACACCTGTCAGGGCCCCAGCTATGGCCAAATAGTTAACCCCCAAGCTGGGGCCAGAACACTATGAAAGTTTAAAAATAAGTTTTAATACCCGAAATACTCTGTAAAAAATTATTACCAGCAATACATTTTTGAAAATATACTACCAGCGATACATATTTGAAGAAAAATTATTACCAGAAATAAATTTTTGAACAAACATATTGCCAACAATAAAAATTTTGTCGGGATTAAATAACCATTGAGGTTGATATGCCGTAAAACAAAACCTATTCCCAAACTAAGTAATTCAGTTATGTGTAATGCGTGTTACACGCTGAGGCGATCATGTGTCGTTCGATATATGACTGACAACGTTTTTTTCCCGCAGTAGATTGCCATTTCTTTCTGCGTTAGACCCGTTAACATCCAAGGCTATAGAAGCCGGTCTGTCCTGCTCCGGAGAAGAAGAGAATTCATACCTTTCCCAAGGGTATTAGCACGTAAGTGAATGTAATGAATTCGACTGGAATTCGAACTCGGCTCTCTGATTCTGTACGTACAAATGTAATTGGCATACAGAGTATTCCCCGTCTTCCCACACTCGCGTGTCTCGTACAAAAAAGGAGAGGGCGTGATGCATGTCGCTGGAAGAGCCCATGTTTGTTAGCCAATCAGCACGTGTGAACATTGAGTTTGCTTCCTTCACGTAAATTGCTGCAAAATCTTGAATATGTAGCAATTAAATATTAGAAGATGGCACCAGAATTGTAGAAATAACAAAGTGGAGCATAGCCCCAAATCGGTAAAGAACCACTGATATAGTCCCAAATCAAGTAAGTCTTTGTAGACTCA